CTCGCTCTCTCTTGGCCAGTAAGGTTTCTGTTAGAAATCCAGCCTCATGGAGACTCTTTTGTATGCTATAAGTCATTCTTTTCTTGCTGCATTCAACATTTTCTTTATCTTTGCCTTTTGTCAAATTGGTTATAATGTGTCTCAAAAAATATACTCTTTGAATTGATCTTGCTTGTCCTCCTTTGTTCATTTGCTTGATGATGTCTGATAGGTCAGGTATGCTTTCTTGTCTTTTTTTTCCCTTACTTTTTCTTTTCATTTTGCTCATTGGCTCATTGTCAATGACTTGTTTTCAAGTGTGCTAATTCCTTATTCTGCATGTCTGAATCTGCTGCTTTTCTGGTTTTGTTTAGTTATCTAATCTCTTTTGCTGTCTTGTATCTCACTGAATTTCTTTACTCTGATTAGTTTGAATTATTTGTCAAGTAACCCAGGGATCTCTATTTCTTTGGGGCTAGTTATAGGAAATCCATTAATTTTCTTTGGAGATGGTGTGTTTGCCTCCTTCTTTGATATGTGTAACCTTGAATTAGTATCTATGCATTTAAAGAAGCAAACACTTCTTCAGGTCTTTATAGACTAGTTTTAGCAGGTGAACACTTTTTTCAGTTGGTTCTCTGCCTTGATGTAATTGCTTCTAGGATCACAATTGACTGAATCTATAGCAGGTTACATGGCCTCTGATGGATCTTGTGGTTGGCAGGCCTGTTATTTGAGGCTCAGCCAGTGTGAATCTTGTCTGGCCCCTGGGTACACTAGAATGCCTCCAGGATCTGGGTTAGTAGTGTTGGAGCTGGAACAGGGGTCTACTTCAGGGGTCTACAGTTATGTCCATAGACAACAAATTTGCTGCTGGGTTCACAGAAAGTTATGTCTCCTATCAGGTACCTGGGAAGGCTCTCACCACGTTATTAGGTGGGTTTTGGGGAGGCAAGACCAGAAGAGAGTCAGAGGGATACTTCTGAGACTGTAGTCTATCAGTCTACCTCCGGGTACATGGTACATGGTGCTTCTTGCTGGGATCCTGGGATCTGTTTTCTGGAGTTGCTTCAGGATCTGCAATCTGACTGAGACAGCAAGCAGAATCCAGGGGCATGAAATGGGCATATCTCATGGTGGATCCCTAGCCTGCAGCTGAGAGGGGCTGGAGCTTAGTTGCAGGGCTCTTTCAGGATCTAGGCAAATTGGCCTCCAAGGACAGGGACAAATGTATCTCCTAGTGGGTCACTATGCAGGCAGGAATGTTTCCATATGGCTGGGAGCAGAGAGAGCTAGGTCACAAGTCATTTTAGGGTCCTCAGCTGGAGCCATATTTGACAGGCCTATTACCTAGGGCATGAAGGGGAATGATTCACCCTTGGTCCCACAGCAGGTGATGCTGGTGGCAAGATGAAGGCCAAACAGAGCTATATCTAAGACCACAGGAGGTGGGGCTAATTCTGGGTCTGCTACCAGAGTATAAATCTGCCTTTTCAAAACAGGCCTTTTTAGTCTTGTGCTTCACTGGGATTTTTGTCACTTCCTGCCTGATTCTCAAAATTCCTTCCAAAAACACATTTTCTGTTGGTGGCTGTCAAAATTATTGTTGCTTTGGGGGGATATGAGTGTAGAACCTCCTATTTTGCCATACTATTGGCCAATCGAATTGAATTTTGAAGAAGAAAGAGGAGTTTTTGAGCTAAAAGGCAGTAAATGGAGAAGGGTATTCTAGACAACTGGGAAAAAATGTGCACAGATTCAGATATACACTAAGCTGTCACGTCCAACTCTATCACATATTCATTGCAAGAACTTTTGCTTCAAATGTATCCCTGGTGATGTTTAACACACAGAAATACTTTTGTCTAAAAGACATCTCCCATTTCATAGTCTAAACTTCTGAAGAGAAATTATCCTCAGTGTTACTTAGATTTTCTATAGAATTTCTTTTCTTGCATAAATTCCTTCTACCAGTATTCATTTGCTCACCTTTTAATGGTTGGCTAAAAGAAGAGATAGAGATCCATCGGGATCAGATCCATCAGTGACATGTCATTCTGGTGAACTGTGGAGTTATTCCAATTAACTAGCAAGGAGCTAACATGCTCCAAGACAAATCAGAGAAATGGAAGGCAGTAGCATCTATTCCGCCAACAAGGGCATTTTCTAATCCAAGTTACATCAGGTCTGTTATGAATTTGGGGGTAAGTCAATTCTTCAGACAATTATATCCAGGAAACCCAATCATCTTTATTTAGCACCAGCTGCTGTAGCCCATTATATGTCATGTCATATATAACACTTTAGAAATTGTTGCAATTGCATCCAATTCTCTGTATCTCCTTTCCAGGACAGAAATAATATTTGCTGCAGAGAAAGAAACAGGAAGGCTGTGGAGTGGTGGCTTGGGACATTGTCTTCTGGAGACAAAAATACAATATGTGAGAAGTTTATATGATTTTGAATATAAGCCTATATTTTTCATAAAACTGATTATATAAGCTAAGCCAATATCATTAGTTTATCATCAACCCATTATGGCTGTGACTTTAGTCACTATGTCTCCAAGGAAGCAAGTGACAATTTCAACTACAATCTTTACACTTTCCAAATGTAGATTTCTAATCCAGATCTCTGTCCAGAGATCTATGTGCATATATATCCAACTGCCAAGTGGACAGATGTCACTTCTTTCTCTGTGTGTAAAGCATTTTCCTAATGAGAAACCTGAGAGAGACCATAGCTATCTCCCTCCCTCTTTATATTTTGTGGGTCAGGCCTTTTAGATCTGGACTTCTAAGTATCCCTGTATCCCCCCTTCCCAGTGTTCTAGTGCAATCCTTCTTCACTTTTCATATGGCTCCCTGCAGTAATCTCCTAAGTAAATTTTTGGGTTTTAGTTTTACTCACATACAATTTCCTCTACAATGAAGCCAGATGGATCTTTAAAAAATGAATATCTGATCAAGGCATTTCACTGCTTGATTCCTTTGAATGACTTTTCCTTGCTCTTTCAAGATAAATACCAATTCTGTAATGCAGCATGCATTTAACATTTCATGATTTGGCCTTGTCTCTGTCTTCAGTCTCATATATCTCTTCTCACCCTAACCTACTCTCTCCCTCTACAACCTCTGTTATTATAAGTAATAACAGTTAACATCAATTGAAAACTTACCCTGAGCTGGAACTATACTAATATATATATATATATGTCAGTATTTTCCAAACTTTACTAGTGATGCATATCACCTGGGATCCTTGCTAAAAATATAGTTGCTGGTCTTTGTCCCAGACTTATTGAATCATAATCTTCAGGGAATGATCTGGGATGCTGTCTTTTTTTCTTAAAAAGAAAAGGCCCTGTGGGTGTGACTCATCATCTCAGAAACTTGGGAAAACACAGCTTCGTGTAAACTTTTATTTAAAAATATAATGAAATAATAACTGTTATTAGTCTCATTTATAGGTAGAAAGAAATGAGGCTTAGGGGAAAGAGACATGGTTAAATGATTGCCATCATTATGGTTTGAACCTAGACATCCAATCCCAGCATTTACACTGCTGCTATGGTCTGCTTTCTGCTTTTCTCATTTAAGAGTCAACACATGTTCTGTGTTTACTCTTCAACTATCTGTGCCTCTTATGTTTTAATGGGAGCATAAGAGACACAGATAATAGTTTTACTTGGAAAAATACCATTAGTTCTCATAATTCAACTCAGACTGCAGCTTTCCTGGAGCCTTCTTGTTCTGGCTTGGTTGCCTTCCTATGAACCATCCTGTTAATGTGACACATCATTATCTACATCCTTATCTGATTCTCTAATAGGCTATAAAGAGGCTTATTTCAGGACCTTCTGCATCCTTATACTAGCAGAGTGGCATATACCACAGAGTGGGATAAATATCTACTAAATGAATAAAAAATGTAGTGTCATTTGGAAAGTGCCTGGAATTTAGATGCTTTGAATAGATGAATCTGGGCTCACTCCAGTAAATTATTTGTTTTGAGGTATTGAATGCTGTGCTTTCGAACTAGGTCATTCCCCTATTGAACTCACCTATTTTCATTTTAGGAGTATTTGAGGAGAGATTGGGAATCCAGCCCATTCCTTTTCAAGTTCAAAGAAATGAAGCATATGTTACACACTGCAGTGGCCCTAGGCAAGACCAGATAATAGGAAAGGACATGGAAGTCCCAGCAACGAACAATATTATAATAAGGAGGAGTCTGGGCTGGTGATGTAGACTCAATACCAGAGTTCAGAGCGTCAGAGGGGTGTTCTGACATGGGATAAAGGTACTCTTGATCCCTGGAAACTGACGTGAGTGTGAGGCAAAATTAAAATATGAATGGAAGCAATGTTTACATGTGGTCTTGAGGCAACAGGGAGTGCCCTGCCAGGGTGGCGGTGGTGATTAAGACTTTTAGAACAGGAGGCTTGGTTGGGTCCAAATATTATGGACTATAAGATGTCTGTATTATTGGGATTTCAGCAAATGCTAGTGATAAGGCTCCCCTTGTGTCAGGGGTGAGGAACTGGGCTCAGCAGGACTGAGATTTCCATTGCTGTGTTCCACCACTAGGGCAAAGCATTGGCCCTGAAGAGAGCAGAGGGTGGCAGACATGAAGCCCATTCATGAGTGCTGCCTGTGTCTTGGTTTTTCTCTTCCCAGTTGTTAGTGGGAGGCAAGGAATAAGAATGGATCCATGCACGGGGTAAGCAATGCTAGTGGTCTGCGGGAGTTTTATTTAGGGTAAGAGAAATTTAGGGAGATAAGATTTTTTTTTTTTTCTTAATTTGGTATACTTGGCTTTGCTGTCATAATTTAGGTATTACAAAACAATGTTGAGGTCACCACGTTGGAGATTTGGCTAATGGAATTCTATAACAAAAGTGAATAAAAACGTTCTTTGAAAATATCTTTTTCCCAAGACAGTCATATGAAGTCATGAAAAATGAGACTCCATAGGCAACAGAGCAGAAGCATGTTTTAAGAAATTTTATCTGAAGCCTCAGTTTTATTTGAAGCAAAAACTCTTAAAAAAAACTGTAGAAGAAATATTTCATTTGCTTTAAAAACTATTTGTAGGAATTGTGGAAGCACTCTTATGTGGGCAAAAGAAATTAGGGTCTAAACATTCAATAAGATAGAAGAATGATTTATTTGGAGAAGAGGTTATATTGCTACACCATTGAAAAGGCTGACATTGAGTAGAATTACAAGCAACAGTGTATTGCTGTGAGGGAGTTACATGTTCAGTGCTAAATTGATATGTGAACCATACAGATTGTGATCTTTTGAATAACCATGACATATCTTATAAATGTAGTCACTGAAATCTTATTAAAATTAGAGACACAAGATTCAGTTCCCATTTGCAACGCCCTGCCTTAAGATGCGAAGCCTTGACATCACCACATCCCAATCAGCATAGGCTCCCTCCAGATGGCGGGTTATCTCAGTTCCTGCTTCATAGCTGCGTCGGCCGTGAAGTAAGCGCCAATTATCAAAAGTAATCACATCACCTAAATGAAAGAATTTGTGTTTAAATGATTTACAAAGCAGGCAAATATAACAGGCAAAACCCCACTGCTACTCAGTTCATATCAATAAACACTACATTTATTTCTTTATCCAAAACTGCACATTTGCTGTCACACTAATCAACCTCTAGATGCAAACTGCTTTAGGCCTTGACTCTTAAATCACATAGCCTGGTAGGCTCCTGTGAACACCTTAATAATTCTTACTTGGAAGATCTTCTCTGTGTAAATCTTTTTATTGTTTTTACTGCTTGTCACTTATCTCTTAATTGGGAAATTGTTCACCTAGTTGAACAGTTTCAAATCATTATAAAGACAATGATATTCTTATTTGGTCTTTTATATTCCCAGTCTTTTATGGACATTATTTTTAAGATTCATAAGAACTCTAAAAGAGAATTACCCTTTCATATGTGAGAACATCAAAGCTTCAACAAATTGAGGGATTTTCCTAAAGCTGCATTGCCTTCACATGGTAAACCTAGATTCCAACTATTTTCCCCCATGGTGTTTCAGTTCACACGTTGCCACTCTTAAAATCAACATGCTGTGACTGCGTGGCAATGGGTTTATGGTGATTTCTAGTCTTTTTTTTATGCCAAAGTTCAATTCTAAAAATAATTTCCACCGTGCATGGTGGTGCACTCAGGTAGTCTCAGCTACTTAGGGGGCTGAGATGGGAGGCTCACTTGAGTTCAGGAGTTTCAGACCCATCTTGGGAAATATGGCAAGACACTGTCATGAGAAAAAATAAGAAAGACAGATAAAGAAAAAAGAAAAGAAATAAAAACAATTACAGTAAAACAAATCTTCCATTTGGCCAAATCAAGAGCAGAGAGAAATTATGCCTTTCATTACAGATAACAAAAGCCTTAAGTTCAAGAGAGTCATTGCACAATATGTTAAGAACAATGTACTATATTGTTGAAAGTTGCCAAGAAAGTAGACTTTGTGTTTCTACTGTAAAAAAAAAAAAAAAAATACCTATGTGAGATAATGCATATATTCATTAGAATGATTTAGCCGTTCCATAATATATACATGCTTCAAAGCAACATGTATATGACAAGTATATACAATTTTGTTTGTCAATTAAAAACAAATAAATAAAAAAAGGCTAAATTGTGGAGGCACTTCACTTAGCAGAGATGGTCCAGAAAAAAAAAAATCAGTGTTTTTTGCGCCTTTATTTCAAGTAGCTAGAGTACTCCAAGTACTATTTTATTTCAGGCAATACTATCTCTGCCTATAAGTTTTAGAAATAAACTTTCCTTAAGTGTTTTATGATCAGCATCATGAGGACATATTTGTCTACCAGGATAGGAAAATAAAGTAGAAGGCTCAGCTTGTATTGATAGGCTATTAGGATAGAAAATAGAAAACACCAGACTTAATATCAGACAGAAGGTTTCATTTGGCCCAGAGTTTCTTTAAAGTAGCAGAGGTGGGAGCCAGGTGGCTGCTGTTTTAAGCAAGTCAGCTGTTCACCAAGATTCTACTGTAAAACTGTTCTGGATATCATTCTCCATGGTTAAAGTTGGAGAATATCCAAATTTTTTACTTTTTTGAAAAAATGTCCCCACTGACCTGGATTCATCTTGAAGATAAACTTGTTTTCTTTGCTGTTCATGAGATCAACAAACTCTTTTAGAGCAGCATAAAAAGGCTGAACTCTCTCAACAGGTACATCAAATATCGTGTCTCTAGTTGCATTGTTGAAGTTGATGCGAACCACTTGGCCTTTGTCATCTAACCTGTTGAAGAGAAAAAATTAACATATAATTCATGAAATATCTATTTACATTTGTAAGGGTCAAGATATTCAATTTACCTGTGGTACAATGTATTCCTTCATCTTTTTCATTCATTCATTATGAATAAGTGTTTTTAGAAATCTCACTGCAAAAATGCTAGGAGGGATTATACTAAAATTAAAATGTTACTGATATATTTAAGTCAACATTTTGTTATGCTTAGTGAAATTTATTTGTTGTTCTTTAAAATAGGCTTTACATATTAAAATCTCATGCAACAAGTTTATAGGTCAGTTACCTTTTGTATTTTATCTAATTGGAAGAAAATTTTATTCTTTAAAAGCTTGACATATATGGTTCTTATTTAATGCCTAGTTTGGAGACGGGGGAAAGTGAAGAATAGAGAAAAGAAGAGACTAGCCTGAGAACATTCTTCCTATCTACCTATCTATACCACATGTCTTAGTCTGGAGACCTTAAGAAGATTGGTACTGTATCTCACTCAATGTTGTATTCCCAGTTCTCAACAGAAAGCCTGGACATAAGAGTTGGTAAATAAACATTTGTTGCGTCTGTATATTTTTCATGCTTTGCGGGAGTACTGAAGTCTCTTTAGTACCTTGGAAGATCCTAATGTTGTGATTTCTCTACTCTTTCTTATAATATGGACTGTGATCATGACAATGCAAGATAATACAACTTTCAATGTAAGAAAAGATAACAAACTTTCTGAAGTTTGGACTATGCTGGTTATAATTAGCAAGACATGGACATCACTTACATACAGAGGCAAAAAGAGGAGATTTTTTTTTTTTTTTTCTGTGTGTGTATACAGTTTTTGTTTTTAGCTTATTGGGAAGGTGGACTTTCAGCCAGACCTTCAGTACCAAGCAACTCCCAACTTTTATTTTTCCTTTAGGCAGAAACAGTAGGTATGAATGAAAATAGGAGAGAAAGTGGTCCAGGATGGGGACATATTGCTTAGTATTACTTCCTAAAGAAGTATCCCCAGGGGACAAACCCAGGGGGTTTGGTAATGGTAGTAATGGTAGCCCATAGCTGAGTGAAGCCCACACCTGGTGGATCAGACCAAACAAATTGTTCCATTTGCTTGGACATAGAGAATTTGTGTTGGGGTCTGGGCTGCACTTAGCTGACTGGTCACACAGAGAGTGAACCATGATCAATGTCAGGATACAGAAGGAAGGATGCAATTGACTGCTAGAGAAGACATTAATCTCAGGATTGAAGAGTTAGAGGAAGTGGGGGGCTGAAACCTTAAAGATCAACCTAAAATGCAAAATTGGATTTTAGTAAGCAGGAAATTCCTTTACAGAACAACAGAATAAAAGGAAGCATCTAATGCAAACTTTTATGCAGAGGAAGGGTAAAATGTCATAAAAGATGAGAATAATTAGCTATATATTTAGCTGTGAACAAAGGAAAAATATTTAAAAATAAACCAGCAACAAGATGACAGTGAACCAATCTAGGCAAATCATCATCAGTGATGCCAACAAGAACCCGAAGAAAGGACCATAGATATCTCCCACATTCCCAGTTGCCGCTATGAATATTTCCCATTAGTCTTGCAGGGAGATGGGATGTTTTATGGGACTTCTTGCTTTTACTGGGGGAGTGTCTCTATGGTATTATCTGTTGCATCACATTTTATGAGAGAATCTGCAGGAAAAAATTATTTCAGACTTTAGAAGCAATTTAACTCCTATAACTGATTATATTCTTTCTTCGCTTTGGTTTCTAGATTGGATCTGAAATAGAAAACTATTATCAGTAAATTGTTGGCATTTATAAAATGAAAATTATAGCAAGCTCAAATATACTTTCCATTTTCACTGATAGGCATTTTGGTAAGTGCTTCCATTTATTAACTCTAAACTTCCTACTTCATCATAAATTATTGATAAGTGGCAGGTATTCTTTTTTTTTTTTTAGAAAAGAAACTGAATCAGCAAGGGGAAGTCATTGAATAAGTGGTTGCATAGATGGCAAATAAAAGACTTGTATTCACATGAGTAAACTTGCAATCAATAGGATTGATTAATTCCACTATTATTTTTTCCACCAGTTTCTTCATTAATTTATTTTTTATTGTATTGGATTGTTACTGATTATTTTAGCAGCCTTAGAGACTCTTTTGTACTAGGAAGGATATGAAAATTTCAAAAGAATTTAAAAGTTTAACTACAAGAAAATTAAATTAACCCAAACACTCAGGAGACGGAAGCTCTCATTAACTGAAACCCTTGTTTTCTCTCTTGTTGTTAAAAATGTATTTTTAAATGGATTAATGTTAAACACTTTATTATCTCCATGGATATCCCTGAGACCTTGCTAATGGCCAAATTTTAGATTGTATTACAAAATATATCAAAGCCAAGTCATGATTTGGTTGATGGACGTGCAGTTAATCTCATTCAATAACTAAGTTTCTTGCTTCACTTCTCTTACAGAATCTGCAATTATTTTAGGTCTTAACAAAAATTTTTATCTGTCATGGATTTTTAAAATTTAAATTTATTTCAACTCATACATAAAACATAAAATTAAAAATTACACACTAATAGGGTAACATAAGGTTTTGATACATTTATATACATGAGTAATGTGTATATCAGATTAAAGTTATCTATCTCCTGATGATAAAATGATAAAAGTTCTCATTTTAAAGGGACCGTTTAGATAATTTAAAATGTCACAGTATACTAAGAAGCTTGAATTATTTCTTCTCTTTCTCCCCTCAATGGCTGAGTTCTCAGAGAACACCTCAGCTTCATTTTGATCTAGAGTATATCCCTGAGGATTGTCTTTCCTTCATACCTCTTATCCAAACTACCAGGAAAATAATCTTTTTCCCTGAAAAATATATCAAAAAATATATCCTTTTCAACATGGCCATTACTGTCACTTGGACCACTCATGTTCAGGGTGCCATCATCTCCACAGGGAGTCCTAGCAGTAGTTTTCTGCCTGGTCTTCCTTCTCCTGTTCTTGCTCTATTTTATACTATGTTCAACACAACAGCCAGAGGATCTATATAACATGTAACTTCACTCAGAATAAGAACCTAGGTGTTTATAGTTATTAACAACACTACGGATCAGCTGACCCCATCTGACCTCCTCTTCTAACACACTTCCCTTCTCTCAGCTCTGGCTGTTTCTTGAACTCTCTAGACTTGTTCTTGAAGATTTCTTAGGACTCTTGCTCTAGCACTTTCTAGAAAACTCCTTCACTTCTTTAAGTCTTTGCTCAAATCTTTCCCTTACTACACTATTGAATGATGAAAATTTTATCCTGGCTAAGTCTTTGGTCCTACAGATTCCCTTAATCTTGATCTACTTTTCCTTTTTTCCCCTCCTTAAGTCTGTAATAGTTTTTTTAATATTCATTATGATTTGCTTATTTATTTCAAAATTTCAAATTCTCCCTTTCCCCACTAGAACTCAAGCTGTGTGAGGGCAGACATCTTTATTTTGTCCACTGGCATATCCCAGGTACTAAGAAGAATGTCTGGCCTCAGTAAATATTTGTTGATGAATAAATGAAGGCTGTGCATATACATAAGATAATGGAACTGTGTGCTACAGATTTGATTATCTACTAAATGAATTTATTTCCGTATGTGGCTATTACTCTTAAAAGAATACAAATTTAATTCTAAAATCAGAAACACCCCCAAATTAACTGAAGTCTATTTGAATACATAATGTCCTAGAGACACAATCTAAGATAATTCTTGAATAATTCTTATAGCCTTAGTGGGTACTTAGAAAAATCATGATCAAATCATTTTAAAAGAACAAAGACACAAATATTCTCTGTAAGGAATATATGATTTTTGTTGACTTAGCATCTTTTGAGGGAGATTCTGTTTCATTCTCAGTTCATGCAGTTCAAACAAAGCTGACCCTCTCTATAGATGAGCATGTGGTCCTGGCACGGCTACCTGGAATTCTCCAACTTTGGCCACGGCATTTGCTTCAAGGACAGACATAGACATAAGTTGGACAAGGAGTCATCTACCTTTGTCACAGTTGTGCAGAAAAAAGTACACTCCTTGTGCTGTAATTGTCAGCTCCAAGAGTAATGAACACTTGGAGCTTCTGAGGATCATCTTTAAAAAGGAGTCAATATAGGGTGGGGGAGGGTAGAGAAAAATTCCAGATGACAAATGTAACTCCTGGATCTACCTATTTTGAGTTATGTCCTTTCACTTTTGCTAGTACAATCACACTGACTAAGACTATGTAGAACTAACACTTTTAAAATGAAGTGCACATTAAATCTTACTTTTCCTCTAATATTAATAGATTATTTAAGGTAATTTGATTAAAAAATTCATTCAACTGTGGAAATATTCTTTTTTTCCCTTTTGGCTTAAAAGATAAACAAAAAAAAAAAGCTTTGCAGTTAAAGCATTCTACTGTTTAAGCATTAGATTAATGGAGAGTTTGCTGTCAATTGTTTTATTGCAATGAGAAATTCATAAAAAGTACTCACTCTATAATTTTGTGTTTAGATTGTACAGAGAAATCACAGTAATCCACTCCAATGTCTGTAAAGTCCACAAAGGTGGAAGACAAAATCTGGAATGCCCGAGGATTTTTTTCCTTGAGCTTTTGGCACACATTAAACCCATCTACAATTTCTGAATCACCCCCTGTGACTGTTTGTTTTATGCAGTGCAGAAGCTGAACCTGAAAGAAGAAATGGAGAAATAGAGTTTAAAATAATAGCATTTTACTATTTTTGATTTAAATATTCAAAAAGATGCACAAATCAAAATCAATGAAATTTGTTTTTATATCTGTTCTCTTACATCAGCAGAGAAAGGGGCTGGGGACAAAAAAGATGGTTATGATCAATACTGTATAATTAGAATCTGTTATAATTGAAGACATGGACATAGGCATGATAATGTTCACTAGTAAGCAAAAGGCACAGGTCATAAGAGCTGTAGAGAGTGAACTCTGGATATTGGAGCAGGCAGGAAAGGCCAGAAGAAGAGGTAGTATTTAAGCTGGGCAAAGGGCAATGGATAAGATTTGGTATGTGCAAACTAGACTGAGAGTGCAAATAGAAACAGAGAGGATGTGCATGCAAAAGTGCACAGTTCACTCAGTAACAGACAGTTTTGCAGTGGCACAAGGTATAAATGGAAAGAGAAGATCAGGTTAAAACATGATTTGGGGTTTCATGGAGAGTCTTAAATGTTAGATAAAAAATTTCTGTTCTTTCTGTTGGGAATTATTGAATATGGAAGCAATATAGAACTGACCTGAAAAAATTAGCCCAGTGGTGTTATAGTAAATGAATTATTTTTGAGGAGGAAACAGGCCAGATAGTAGCTACTTGAGAGTCTAAGGCCATAATTCAGATGTAAGGATAAAAAAGGAAGGAAGTGGGGTGGGAGTATGAGGGATGGATAAGCTCCGACACACTGAGAATGAGAAAGCCATGCTATTAAGTGCTAATAAATTTTATTAGGATTTTTGGGAAAATGTTTAATATTATTTCATTTTGAAAAGTAAATCATAGTAAAAATTTAAAGATACTTTTGAGTGGAGCTTTTCATTGGTTTTGTGACTCCTTTTGGTAAGTCAGCATAGATGGGTGATTTTGAGTATTTAAATTTAGACCCTGGTTTTCTGTTGGAAGAAACTAATAGCATTGAATTGCAAATCTTCATTCTTACTGAGTGAAATAAATTAAAAACATTGTCTGATAGAGTGCTTATAGAATGGAAGAGACAAATATGATCAAATACCCAGCCTTGGAGGGATACCAGTATTAGTTAAAAAAAATAATAATAGTTTAGTTTGGTTTGTTCCACAGCTGGCCTGGAATAATGATGCCCATCAGAACTTTTGCAACAATGGAATATTCTTATTTGCTGTCTAATGACAGCAATCTCTAACTTCACCTGGCTATTGTGTGCTTGAAATGTAGTGTGACTGAGGAGTTGAATTTTGAATTTTATTTAGTCTTAATTTTAATTAATGTGTGAATAGTCACTTGTGACTAGTGACTACTATTGGATAATGCTGATCTAGAACATAAATACTGCTTCTCTTCCAAACCTAATGTACAAGTTTCCCCAGTTTTTATAATTTTATATATAATTTATTCTAAAATTGAAATTGTATCATGTATATTACTACACATAAGAATCCTTAGAATTTGATAGCCACTGGGATTACAGGAGTGTGCCACCACAGCCAACTTTATGCCATTTTTTTTTTATGCTTGAAAAATACATGCATAAGCTGATCAAGTGGCTTAAGAAAATCATCTCACAAGGGCCATGAGGGACAATGTAGTATGATGAAAAAGAAAAGGAAATGGAAAAGTCCATCAAACTCTCAATGGCAAAATGATAGCATAATTTTATTTTGGAGAGAATTGGAGGGTTCTTGAGATTCTTTTCAATTTCATCATAAATGAACTCACAGAATATTTCAAATATCAGTTTTTTAAAAGGTTAGCTGATGTTTTTACACAAGGCAAGGCCAACTAACATCTTCTTTCATGTAGTTAAATTTTTAATACAATCTTATGACAGGAAAATGATGATGGAGCCTGACACCCTCACCACGAATTCAAATTTGTAGAAAACCAAATTTTATTTCATGTGAGTCATTCAGAATTAAAAAATATTTTCTTTTAAAGTGTTTCTTTATGGCAGCATGTGACTTTTGGCCCAGAGAAAAATAGTGAGCAAAGTAATATCTGTGTTTCATTAAAGATGTGTCTTCTTATCTCCACCCCATTGGATCCATCAAACTGCATGCTCAAGAGGAAACTAATTATCCAAGTCATTTCATCTGTAATTAAAATGACATTTTAATAAACTTTTATTTGATAAACATTTTACTATAAATAATTTAATTATCTTTTCTAATTTCTTTTCTAATTGTTATGGAAAAGCTCAAATACAAAAGAAAAAAATAACCATTCAAAATGGAAGTTTGAACAATAGTATAAGCAGGTATCCATATATATATATTTTTTTATCAGAATCACAAGTTTGAGCAGACCCTGGGCAACTTAGGCTCTATTTAAAAAATAAAATAAAATAAAAGTTGGGAAAACAGCACTATGATAGAGTATCCTTGGGTTTAATTCCCAGTATTGAAAGAAATTATAGTAAAAATCTATCAAGTCATTTATGTAATTTTAGACCTTTGTTGCACTTTGCTTATTTATAGAGTATCTGTTATGTCTATATTATGTGCAAGATGATGTATGAAGTTTTGAGATAGAGGAAGGTATGATTCAGTCCTTGTCTTTGAAGAGTTTGTAAAGTGTGACAATATATACAAATAATCTATCATATTACATTATATCACATTATACAATTATGATAATTAGAAATTCCAACTCAGGAGCTTTATGATGTGATGATAAACTAGATGGAAATCTAAGTTCCAGTTCAAATTCCCCATGAATCACCCTATAAAAGTTTTTACCCTTGTACTTCATTTCCCCATTTTACATAAAAGTCACAATCATGTTAACCTTAAAGGAATGTTAAGAGTGATCCTATAAAGAAAGACAAGTCAAAATGCTTTGGAAAGCATAACTTTCTATGAAAATGTCAAAAATTCCATTGTACTTCAGGAAAATTTATGATATCATTTAATCACTTTTTCTTAGGCTTTCAATTTTAACCCAGAAACAAAAGGTGAAGTCATAAAATACAGAAGATAATTTAAAAATTTGAAATAGAATCTTTAGTTTTCTTGTCTCATTCTTCAAGTTTTATTCTATCCAACCTCTCTAACTGATCTCTGAAAGGTGAGTTGAGCTGATTAGTTTGGCTTTTAATAACAGGGTTTCAGAAAAATATCTCAGAACCACATTTTGAATAAATCACATTGTTGTGTCTCCTCCCTCAACTCCCACTCAAAAAGGTGACTATAGGAGTCATTTTTCTGTCATCATTTAGTTCAATGAAATCATGTGGATTTCTTTTTTCCAATCAACAAAATAATTTAAAACATGTGGACAAATTCTATACTCGCTTAGCTAATACTGGCAAGAACAATGGGTAGCAACCAGGGCACAGAGAAAATATGTTCAGTCAAGATGATGAAAAAAAGGGATTAATTTTGGTTTTGGCCCATTTCTCCTTTATTAACTTGAGAATTGTCCAGATTTTCATTTATCTTTGAAGATACAGATTTCTGTGTGGTTATTTCATTTAGTCCAGTTCAGCTTTAAAAATAGGCAAAGAACATACATTTTTTTTTAAAAAAAAACATATTGTCCTGACCATTTGTGTTTTAATTTAGTAAATGGTGATTTTGTAAAAATGTATTTGGTTTACTAAAATGATAATTTTGTGAAGATGTAGAGGAAGAGTGTCTACTCAGAAATTCCTCTGAGGCCTTTGTGGCTCCGTATGGAGCTCCTCCTTCTTTGAGAGGGAATTTTATTAGCGAGATAGGAGATGGTTTCCAAAAATAGCATGAGTACTCTGTTCCTTATCTTTGAATCCCATTATTATGCATGTTCACAGCTCCTTCCTTGAGTTGACTACTTCCTTATTTCTTGAATCTGGGCAAGACTTGAGGTTTGCTTAGACCAATAACACACAGCAGAAGAAACACTGCACAAATACTAGCCCAGGCCCCAGGAAGCCTTGCATACGTTGGCTCTTTCTCTGAACATTGTGTCAGTTGCCATGGGCAGAAGCCTGGGCTAGCTTGTGGAGGATAGTGGACCAAGTGGAGCAGATAAGCCATCCTAGATGAAGTCACCAGCCCTTAGCCAATTCATCAGCTGAGTTAATCTGCAAATAAGAACTTCCCAGCAGAACACAGCCTGAATAGCAAGAATGGGCTAAGTATGTAGGTGCTCTTTTTAGCTATTAAGTTAGGGAGTGGAGCAATAACTGATAAAAATGACAGCCATGTCACACTGTGCGAGAACACCATCTTGTATTCCCTGATTTCATTTTCATTTTTTAACTCTCTTACCGGGGATATATATACAAAAAGACACCAGGATATACTGCTGTCTTAAAAAAAAATCTGTCATGGCAAAGCAAAAAGTGCCAATAATTATTTCCAGGAAGAACAAATAAATATATTTTTAAAAAAGATACATGAAAATGTCCTATCCCTCAGCAATTCTGATATTCAGAATTCAGGCACAAAAATGTTGTGTTTGGGTTGTGTTTGAAGAAAAAAAATTACATACGACAAATTAGCTGGTGAAATATGTAATCTTATACACTCAAAATATAGAAGGATTTGGTCCTTGGCCTGCTTTGTGGAAAATATGTTGAAGCTCACCTTACCCCAGGTGGATGGTGCAGGGCTGGATAATCCGTGTGAAAGCTTAGCTTCCCAGTTGTGTAAGCCACATTGTTTGCATCAATTTTGTCTTGCACTTGCCAAGTATGTCTGTAAAATACAAGAAACACATGTTTAAGCAGATTGTCACGAAGCCAGAGCAAATGTATTAGAATGAATTAGATATGGAGGGGGATGATAACTTTTCATTTTATGAAATAATTAACTTAATGACTATGAACCAAAAAGGTAGTGTAACATTCCTATGGCTGAAGTAATATAATTAGCATTTCCTCATTTCTCCCCTCAACAAAACCACATCTTCACACTAGTCTATCCTACAGAATTCATAAAGAAGTAAATGTGGGATTGTAGGTCATCTTTTTTTTTTTTTTTAATAGCTTGATGCATATAACAAAATGAAGCTTTTTTGGTGGGGGGTTACTGAGGATTGAAATAAGGGGCACTTGACCACTAAGCCACATCCCTAGCCCTATTTTGTGTTTTATTTAGAGACAGGGTCTCACTGAGTTGCTTACCACCTCACCGTTACTGAGGCTGGCTTTGAACTCAAGATCCTCCTGTGTCAACTTCTCAAGCTGCTGAGATTATAGGCATGTGCCACTGCACCCAGTATAAAATGAAACTTTTTAAAGTGAGCAATTCAGTTGGATTTAGTACATTCACAAGTGGCAATCATCACTACTATAATTACTATATATCTGGTTGTTTTGTTTGGCTTTTGGTGGGAGCATGCTTGGGATTGAACCCAGGGCCTCATGCTTGCTACATGAGTGCTGAGCTGTATCCACAGTCCCTATATCTTACAGTTTTAAATCATTTCTATCATTCTTAAATAAAACCACTTTTTCAGTAAGAAGTTTCTTGCTCTTCCCGAGGTCCTTGGCAGCCATTAATCTGCTTTTTCTCTTTATACTTATTTTTAATATTTAATATATATGGAATTATAAAGTTTATATTTGACTTCTTTCACTTGGCATATTTTCCAGATTTCTCAAACTGTAGCATGTATTAGTATATAATTTCTGTTTATGACTTAATACTTTATTGTACAGATAACCACAATTTGTTTATCCATTCACTCACTGATGGACATTTGGGCTACTTCTACTTTCTAGCTATTGTAAATAGTGCTAATGGAACACAGAACATGAATATGCAAATACTTATTTGAGTTTTCAATTTTTTGGATATGTACATAAGAATAGAATTCTGGGATCATATCATAATTCAGTGCTTAACAGTTTGAGGAACTGCCAGATTGTTCTTCATAGCATCCATATCATTTTTATATTCTAACTAGCAATGTGTGTGAGTCTCATTTTATCTACATCTTCACCTATATTTTTATTAAAAAAAATTGTTGCCCGGCATGGTGACACCCACCTGAAATCCCAGTAACTTGGGAGGCTGAGGCAGGAGGATGGTGAGTTTGACATCAGCCTCAGCCACTTAGTGAGATTCTTAGTCACTTAGTGAAACACTGTCTCAAAATTAAAAATGAATGAATGAATGAATGAATAAATAAACAAATAGGACTGGGATGTAGCTCAGTAGTAAAACACTCCTAGTTCCAACCCCAGTACCAGGGGATAAAACTTATTATAATCTTTCTAATGGGTGTGAAATTGCATTTCATTATGGTTTTCATTTGCTTTTTCCTGATGAGTAAGCATGTTGAGTATCTTTTCATGAACTTCTTGGCCTTTTGTAGAATTGTTTATTCAAGTCTTTGCATTTATTTTGGTACTGGGGATTGAGTCTTGGGACACTTTGACACTGAGCTACATCCCCAAGCCTTTTCATTTCCTATTTTAAAACAAGGTGTCACCAAGTTGCCCAGGCTGGCCTCAAACTTGTGATCCTCCTGTATCAGCTTCCTGAACATCTGGGATTACAGGTGTGTGCAACCATGCCCAGCCCTTTGCTCATTTTTAAATTGAACTTTTTATTTAGTTGTAAGAGTTCTTTATATAGCCTGGCTATTGAACGCTATCAGACATGTGATTTGTGAATATTTTCACCTCTTCTGTGGGTGATTTTTTATTTTTTTACTAATGTCCTTTGATGCCCCGAAGCTTTAAAATGTGATGAAATCCAATTTTTCTATTTTTGTTGTTGCTTATGTTTTTGATGTTGTATCTGTGAATTCATTGCCTATTTGATATCATGGAGATTTTCCTCTAAGATTTTTATGATTTTAAATCTTATATTTTTGTTATGGATTCATTTTGAGTTAATTTTTGTAGACGATGTGAAGCAGAGTCCAGCTATCTTCTCTTGAGTGTGGATATTCAGCTGTCCCAGCACCAAGCTCCTTCAGACGCCTTGTCCCAGTTACAATCCCTTCTCTCTTCTCCAAGGTAACCACAGCTGTGACTTCTATTGTTGCAATTTCTTTGCACTTTCTTAGAGTTTTATCACCCAAATGTGCATCTCTCAACACAGCTTAAGCTTGCTCAGAAAACAACTGTTGTACATTTTAAATCTCTTAATCTACAACTTTTCCTTCCAAGCTGTTCTTCCAAGTTATTGTTTGAAGATCAAAGGGAATTTGACCTATAGAGTGCCCCTGTCTGGACTTTGCTGGCTGCACACCCAAGGTGATATTTGACAGTTTCTCCTGTCTTCTGTGTTCCTGAAGAATTGGCATTTGGAAGCAGAGGCTTTGACAGACTCTATTCTCTCTCTTTGGTAAAACTGTAGGTGGCGTGTGTGTGTGTGTTTTCTAAAAGTTATAATGTCTGCATTCCTTTTTGTGATGTTTGTACACGTTCATGCTCAAATTGTGAAGTAACAAACTGATAATTTATTTTTATTTATCAGGTGGATTACTTTTAAAAATAACCTGCTTTTCTCTAACCTGCTATTTGGTGACACTATATAATGTCTTATATAAAGATGATTAGATAAAAACTCGATGCCATCTCTTTATTTACCATTTGTAATATAATCAATTTGCTTCCTACCATGCCAAATTTAACAATAAGTTCTTTAAAATATAACATTATTGATAAACATGTATTAAAACTAAACTGAGGTAATGTTTCATAAAATTGTGAATGTACTAAATGACACAGAACAGTCACGAATTAAGAAAAAAATCCCTAGTCTTAAAAGTATAAAAACTAGGTAATTATAAAAAGAACCAAGGGTTACTTGCAATTCCGTGGCAAGAAAAGTAAATCATTATTCAGACTTTGCAAGGTGTTTCTCTTTGAAGATTGAAACAATGGGTACTTGGGAAGAAGCTATGTTTCAAAATATAGCTTTAAAAGAGTTACTACATAGATATGCCATTTTATTTCTGTATAATGTCTACTTGTTAACTTATGTTTGAAGTTATCAAATCATTTTTGAATAAATATATTTAACAGATATGCTATTCCTGACATGGATTCTGCATTAGCGATAGCACAAGGCAGCTGGGTGCAATCCTGAACACCTGTAATCCCAGTGACTTGGGAAACTGAGGCAAGAGGATCACAAGTTCAAGGTCAGCCTGGGTAACTTGGAAAGACCCTGTCTCAGAATAAAAAATAAAGAAGGATGGGGATGTAACCCAGTATGAGAACACTCCTGGGTTTAATCCCCAGTACTACAAAAGAAAAAAAAAAGAGAGAGAGAGAGAGACAACTTAAGGAAGAAAAAAGACAAATATATAATTACAAAATTTTAGAGATAAGCACTATAATGAAAGTAAGCCAAGGTAAAGAGAAGATGTGGGTATGGGGGGGTGCAGAGATGATGCTTTGGTAACTACACGGTAAATAGTTGACATTTTGTTTTTAAATGCAGAAACCCAAATATATTAAGAGAAGGAGAAATGTGAAATCCTGGGAGCTGTATGTTAGGCAGAGGAACCCTAAGTGAAAAGGAGCTGAGTTTGGAATGTGCCTGGCATGTCTGTGGGAGAACAGGGAGAGGGTGGCTGCAGCAGAGCTGCCAGGGAATCCAGAGGGGGAAATTCATCAGATGCACAGGGGAAGCCAGATCCTGAAGGGCTGGTGGACTAGGCTAAGGATTTGTGATGGAAGACTCTGAGTTTCTCCACTGTGAAAATTATACTGAGTAGTTGTTTTACAGAATTGCTTTGTTGTTGAGCCGGGAGTAGTTGGTACTGGGAAAAAGATGCCAAAAAAGAGAGATGATGGTGACCAAGACTAGAGTAGAAGCCATCATAGGAAAGAATGGCCAGGTTTGAATTTTGAAGTTAGAATTAATAGGGTTCTTTTACGAATTGGATGTAGGATGAGAGGGAAACGGAGTCCAGAATGATGCCCAGGTTTTCAGCTTGAGGAACCAGATAGAGAGTGGTCCCATTTACTGAGATTCACTCTGTAAAAACACACAATCAGGTTGGAGAAATCCATTTCTATTCTTATTCTTTTTGCAGAGTTACAGAAGACAGAAATCAAGAACATCCTATCATAGGCAGTTTGATTCACTAATTTAAATGACTTTTTTTGGTGCTTTAAAAAATTCTTTATTCACCAGAGATATGAGAAATTGTGCTCTATATGTGGAATAAGAATTGTAATGCATTCCACTGTCATATATATACATATGTATATATGTATATATGTGTGTGTGTGTGTGTGTGTGTGTGTGTGTGTGTGTATATATATATATATATATATATATATATATATATATATATAAAGAATACATAGGTCCATGTATGTTATTGAAAAAAAATTCTTTATTCAGGCCAAGCGCAATGGTGCATGCCTGTAATCCCAGCAGCACCGGATGAGATAGGAAGATCTCGAGTTCAAAGCCAGCCTCAGTAAAAAGCAAGGCGCTGAACAACTCAGTGAGACCTCATCTCTAAATAAATACAAAATAGGGCTGAGGATGTGGCTCAGTGATTGAGAACCCCTGAGTTCAATCCCCAGAACTAAAAAAACAAAAACAAAAACAACCCAAAACTTCATTCACAGATGGACACATGATCCTCTTAGTTTTGGTGCTTTAGCTGCCCCCTGCATGTCACCCAGGGGCAGATCCCCTTGCCTAGTATTTCACCTATATCCTACAACCTGGCAAACCTCCTTAACCCTGCATGTTCACTCTGCCTTTCCCTGTCA